TCTTTCGACCCGACACTCTTCAAATTATTGTGAAGCACTTTACACTTGAATTTTATTTCCAAAATTACAGCAGAATGCAGAGAAAAGTAGGTGGCAGAACAAAAGGAGGGCAGACAAAACCAGGTGGCACAACAAAAGGATTTGGGTACAAACAGGCAGGCATGGATCATGATCGGCATGACCAAATCCTGCTCTACTTATAGCTGAGAGATCACTGAACGTACCAAATATTCATCGTCCTTTGCCCTACTTTCTTAATGGCAAAACCCAGCTTCTGTCCTTTTCTCTCTCAAATTTTAGCCTTAGTTGCCTAACTGCCTACTCCGTCTTCTTTTTAAATCAGATCTTGGAACTCTTTTCAGAATGAACTTCCTTTTCCCCAGTTTCGTTTATGTAATGGCAGCCAATACGCAAATTAATAACAAATGGGTTGTTGGTCTTCCATTCCGGGTGAGGTGATTTATTGTGTTTCAATGATTTTAGTTACTTAGCTTGTGCGCGTGTTTGCTGATATGGTGATATACATATATGATGTTATTTTATACCTGTGATCCATCATTTGTTTCAAAATTCGTGCACCCAAGTGAGATATGGCTTGAGTTAAAATCTAAAAAGGATGGAGTAATGTGACCGCAATTCATGGGTAATGCAATATATTGCCAAGGACGCTTCATAATAAAACGTACTTGTTCAGTTGTTTGGTCTAAGTTCACCTGTTTACAGCACAGGTTTTTTTTTACCCAATCATAAAAGAACAAAATCAAAATTACAAATAGAAAAAGGGAGCACAGGTTCAAAGCATTAAAATTAAAACAGAGAATCAAATCCATTATTTATCTTGAACCGACTCTTTCTCTGCACAATCAGTACGGCTGCTGCGAATGAAAGCTTTTGTCCTAGACTCCTAGTCTAGAAAGTCTAGAACTTAGTCCCACATCGGGAAGCGAGGCTTTGAGCACAGCGGAGAGCAGATATAAAAGCCAAACGACCCCCCCTCACAAAGCATACCTTTCTCGGCCTTTTGGCTAAGATCAAGTGTAGTATCTGTTCTTATCAGTTTAATATCTGATACGTGGGCCATCGGCTCACATGATATTAAATTAATTTTTTGAGGGGGAGGGCCCACCTCAGTAGCTTGCTACTGGGGCCCTTGCGTGTCGCCCGTGCGTTGCACTGCTGCACGGGCCTGGCGCACCCCACCAAGTCTAGTTTAAGCTTCCTATCTTGTGAGCCACGGGGGTATAATGTTTTCTACATCATTTTAAATTTAAATTTAAATCTTAAATGTAATTTTTTTAGTAATAAAAATAATAAAAACAAAGAATATATTTATTAAAACGAAAAATTAATTGAAATATATGAATGATTTAAATTCAATTCGAACCTTTATGGTTTCATAGTCATGTCGTATTTCCGAAAATAAAAATTGTTTATAAGCCTGTTTGAATCCCACGAATTATTGGGTGCTTGATTAAATGAGAGAACTTTTGGCTTTTTTACCCACATGCTATAAACAGTAAAAGCAATTACCAAAAATAAATTTTTTTTACCAAAATGCTGCAGGAGAAATCGTTCACGGTGAGAACGATTTTGGATTTGCAAAGAAATCGTTCAGCACAGGATGAATTTGCCTTTCATGTGGTTTGACGTTTATTTTTTTATTAAAATAAAAAATTGAAATCAGTTGCCTCAATGAACGATTTTAGCTTCACCTCTGACACCTATTTTCACTACTATTTCCCACATTTTTCCTCCGCCTCTACCCTTCTTATCATCTATTCTCCACCTTTTTTTTAAAATCATTTTCCTTCATATTTTTTTTTGGGTTATTAATTAATTCTCAGAAAAACGCTCCCCCTCATCCTCTTCTCCGTAAAATAATTTTATTTTGATGAACCATTTCATATTTATTTTCATCCCCACTTGTACAACGCATGATCCATATAAGAATTATACAATAATAATTAGGAAGGTTTATGCAACATATGTTTTAATTTTAAAATAAGTCAATATAATTTTTTAAAATAAAAGGGATGTTTTTGTAAATATGAATGGCTGGAAAATAGGAATGATTCCTCCTGCAGCATTTTGGCAAAATTTTTTGATCTTATAGCATCTGGTAATTACTTTTACTGTTTATAACATGTGGGCAAAAAAGCCGAGAACTTTTTATTTGAAATTACCGTCAACCACGCCTTTTGCCTTCACTTATATTTTTCTGAAATAAACATGCATGCAATTTCGTGGCACACGCGCCCTCTCAAATAATACTAAGAGAAAATTACAAATAAAAACCTTTTAATATATAAAATAGTAATGAGAGACCTTAAATTTGAAAAATAGCCGGAAAGGATCGGATCCCAAATTACAAGTACAAAATCTTGGTTAAAAGACAAAAACGTCCTTCTGCTTTTCATATCATGTTTCCATATCCATCTCTCTCAATTTCTTTTGTGATCTCTATTTTCATATGCTCCATCCTCACAAATCCACCTTCTAAAACTTTAATTGCATTCACCATCTCTCTCACTAGATTCCTCTCTCATTCTCTCTCTCACCCACAATGATAAAGACGATGAGGCTCGTTATTAATCACTTGGAAGTTGCTTTTTGTTAAAAACAAAAACCCAATATCCATTCAATGCTTCTCATAATTTTGATTATGAGCTGTGGGCAATAACTAAAGAACACAATTCATTTAATCGATCGTGAGTAATAGTATGCCACCTAATGATATTAGGAACTAGGATCGATCGTCACAAACCCACCTTCTATGGATAGCTGAAAAGTAGGAACTATTATATAAGATCAACTAATGATATTTAAGCTGAATGGAAATGGTACGCCACCTATTTAGTATTTGAATGTAAATTGATTGGGAGCAACATTGTGATAAAATAAGAAGGCAAATTAGTCTTGATGTCATTTTGATTCTCATTATAACTTTGTGCCCACCATATGGATGCTCCAGATTGAACCTCAATCTTCACAACATATATATAGCAACGTTGTAGAGCTATTTAATTCTCATTTTAACAGAAAAATTTAAAATTATACGAAAACCTTATCAGAACATGTCATTGGTCTAATTGAACTTGTCATGAATCCTATATCAGAAGTGCTTGCTGTCAAATAAATCTGCAAATTCTCATTTTAACAAAAAAATTTAAAATTGTATGAAAACCTTATCGAAACTTATCATTGGCCTTACTTAACTTGTCATTGACATAATAAAACTTGTCATGAATCCTATATCAAAAGTGCTTGCTGTCAAAGAAATCTGTAAATTCTCATTTCAACAGAAAAATTTAAAGTTGTACAAAAATCTTATCGAAACTTGTCATTGGTCTAACTGAAATTGTCATGAATCTTATATCAGAGTGCTTGTTGTAAAAGAAATATGCAAGTTCTCATTTCAACAGAGAAATTTAAAGTTGTACGAAAACTTTATCGGAACTTGTCATTGGCCTTATCTAACTTGTCATTGGCTTAATTGAAATTGTCATGAATCCTATATTAGAAGTGCTTGCTGTCAAAGAAATCTGTAAATTCTCATTTCAACAGAAAAATTTAAAATTGTACAGAAACCTTATCAGAACTTGTTATTGGCCTTACCTAACTTATCATTGGCCTAACTGAAATTGTCATGAATCCTATATCAGAAGTGCTTGCTGTCAAAGAAATCTGTAAATTCTCATTTCAACAGAGAAATTTAAAACTGTACAGAAGTCTTATCAGAACTTATCATTGGCCTTACTTAAACTTATCATTGACTTAATGGTGGACACAAAGTTATAATGAGAATCAAAATGACATCAAGACTAATCTCCCTTCTTATTTCATCACAATGTTTTTCCCAATCAATTTGCATTCAAATACTAAATAGGTGGCATACCATTTCTATTCAGCTTAAATATCATTAGTTGATCTTATATAATAGTTCCTACTTCTCAGCTATCCATAGAAGGTGGGCTTGTGACGATAGATCCTAATTCCTAATATCATTAGGTGACGTACTATTACTCGTGATCGATTAAATGAATTGTGTCCTTTAGTTACTGCTCACAGCTCATAATCAAAGTTATGAGAAGTATTGAATGGATATTAGGTTTTTGTTTTTAGCGAAAAGCAACTTCCAGGTGATTAATAACGAGCCTCATCGTCTTCATCATTATGGGTGAGAGAGAGAAAGAGAGAGGAATCTAGTGTGAGAGATAGTGAATGCAATTAAAGTTTTAAAAGATGGATTTGTGAGGATGGAACAGATGAAAATAGAGATCACAAAAGAAATTGAAAGAGATAGATATGGGAACATGATATGAAAAGCAGAAGGACGTTTTTGTCTTTTAACCGAGATTTTGTATTTGCAATTTGGGATCCAGTCCTTTCCAGTTATTTTTCAAATTTAGGGTCTCTCATTGCTATTTTATATATTAGAGGATATTTATCTGCAATTTTTCCTAATACTAATAATAATAGTGTAAAATAGGGGAAATAAATCCTGAAGTTAGCAGGACAGTGTCCAGGGTCCCCACCTAACAAGATGAAATGATGTCACTCTCGTAATAAAATTTCATAATCATCTTTAAATCGTGCCCAAAAATAAAATAATTGTATAATAATTTTCAATAAATGATTGAGATTAGGAATTCAGGTCTGGAGAAAAAGCAGCACTCAATAACAGTGATATTCATGCTGTATAAATAGTTAATCACAGACCCAATCTTTCAACTTTCCAATTTTTCCCTAATTTTCATTGATAATTTTTATTATAATGTCAAAAATTACCGTTTTCAATATATATATATTTATTAAAATAATCGTACTATACACATGAGAATCTCTGTACAATAAATAATTCCAAAAACATGTCGGTATTGTGGACCCCATTCTCTTGGAAGTCATTGGACCTATCGGCCCTATTATACTCAGCCCATCTCCTTCTTCTCTCTGCTCACTCTCTCTCTCTCGTTTTTAAGGAACACACGCGAACACTTTCCATGGGTCCATCCGGTCGGAATCTCCGCCCTGACTGTGCTTCCTCCTCTTCCTCCGCCGCCACCAACTCACCTTTGCGACCAGCATTCGATGTTCTTGACGTTGATTGTGATGGAAAAATAAGCTACGACGATCTTCACTCGTTCTACAACAGGTTTTGCCACCATGACGCCCAAAAACGCGACGTAATAGGGTCGATGATCACGGTGGCGGACACCAACGGAGACGGGTTTGTGGAGTACGAAGATTTCGAGCGCGTGTTGGAAATGGGAGGCGGTGGAAAAGCCGCATGGGATGGTGGATTGATGATGAAGGAAGTGTTCAGAGTGATGGACAAGCACGACGGCGACGGCAAGCTTGGCCACAAAGATCTGAAAAGTTTCATGGAATGGGCTGGGATCGCCGTCACCGATCAAGACATCGACGATATGATCGCACTTGGCGGCGGTAACCGAAACGACGGTGTGAGCTTGGATGGTTTCATTGGGATACTAGGTGGCCTTGCATCTTGATGTCGTCGTCGTCGTCAACGATTAAAGATATGTTTGGATGAGTAGTGGGCAAAAACTTTTGTTGTAACTTCAGTGTAATACGGTGTATGTTTGGAGAGGTATTTATAAAAAATCAGTTAAAAAAATTAAAAATTATTTAGATGATTAAATAGAAAAGTGAGTCAGTTATAAAATGACTGAAAAAAACATAAGTTTTATTAAATAGTAGTGTTTGATACTTTATATTTTTAATATAATGATAGTTAAAAAAAATATTTAAAATTATTATGATAAAATAAAAATATTTGTTTCTGAGAAAAATTTAAAAACATATTGTAGATAATTAATTAAATATATATAATGGATAATTATGATAATTAAAAATTGTTTTAATTTGTGTTAAAAATAATGTACTATTTTTAATCCTTGATATTCAACCCACAATTAATTTGAAGAAATTAAAAAAGTTATTAAATTATCTAATTATAACATTATAATATGATCTATCTAAAATATTCATGTGAATCATTATATTTTACACTAATTTATGAATGAGACAAATTATTTAAAAAAACTATAAATATAAATATTTTAAAACAATAACTCAATGTATAGTTCTCTTTGCTTTGTCTTAATTTTGTCTTTTATTTTTTTACTTCTATTTGTATCTTTTCCTTTCCCATTAGATTAGAGAATTGTGAGGGGCCACACAAGAAACACGTGGGACTGCAAATTTTCACTATTTATGTCCTCATTCACTAGTTTGGAGTGCACTGTTCTTTGTCATTTTCCTCAACTGGAGGACCGTGACTAAAGCAAGAAAAAAGAGTTGAGAGGGTGAGAGCTTCTGGTCATCTTCTTTATAAGGTGGGTTTGATGGGCTGTCTAAAGATGCTAGCGATGGGGACTAGTTCATGCTACTGAACCTTCTTCAAGTGCGAGTTAGAGAGAGAGATGAGAGAAAGAGGCTACCAAGTTAATTTGATTCTTCTTCAAGTTCGACAAGTTTGAAAGAGCAGAAAGAGAAAGGCAAATCTAGATAAATAAATATATGTAACGGTAGATTGGCTTTTACAACTACCTAACACTTTCTAAAAGTTCAAAAGTAACTTTCATTAGCATTGGAATGCAGCTGGTTTTTGGAACAAAAGTTGGTTGAGCTAAAAGCTCATCCAAACAATCAATAATACCTAAATAATTTCTAATCCTCAATTTCACAAATTCTAAGATACTTTTGCAGTTTCTAATGACAATCCAAACACGCCCTAAGTGTCATGTCTTTTCCGATCGCTGTCTTTCAATGAGAAAATCAAAATGATGAGGTGGAAGATGTTCACAATAATGAACTATTTGAAAGTAATGCAAATTGTAATTTGAAGTAACCTGAATTGACAAAACACCACACGTAATGTAATATATATCAAAGTATGTGGGCTGCACGCGTGCATATCTTGCACCATCTCCCAACACAAGAAAATTAACTAGATAATAGTATTTAATTTAATTTTAAATATAAGATTCGTTATAAAAATAAAAGAAAAGTAAAGAAGAAGATTAGAGAAGTAGAGAGAAGAATTCCATTTGGGATACCGAATACATAATATATACTCTCTATTTATAGGTATAGTTTTATATTTTTAACAAAAATCTACAGATTATATAATAATAAAAGATAATTATATAATATAAAGATATTAGAGATGATAAGAAATAATAAAAAATACTACATCCAATCCTAATTATAAGAGCTAGTTGACTAATTTGAGGAGATTAAAGAAAGAAGTTAAGTTAGTTATTTGTAATAAATAGATGTTGCCTTTCCAAAAATATCCTTGCTAATCAAGTGTATTGGTTAAAACTACTATTGTTAGAAGGACTAACTTGAAAAAAAATACATAAATATGATAGACAAAGTGGATTGGGGTCTTATATTAAGGATTAAAATAAAAGTCAAACAAGATCTTATATTAAAGATCGAAGGTAGTATATAGACATGCACAAAGATATTATTATATTCATAACAAAATTCTAATTTATTATGTTTATGTATTTATCTATTTTTTTAAAATAGTTTCTATTGAGATTACATGCGCTGAAGGTTCCATCAAAAAAAATTCTTGTCTACACTTGAAGCACTTACTCATTTGTGCTTCGGCCTAGCCAATCAGAATATAACAAATCACAACATTTTAATCTTAGCTGGCTGCCAGGTCATCTCTAATTATTAAGCAATTAAGATTTCAATTAAAATAATAATTATAAGAAAAACTTAGGGATATCAATCTACATCAGAAAATTCCCATCGAAGAACCCTAACCTCTAAATTTGAGATTCAACGACGTTTGCCCTCTTCCTAGTGACCTGAGACGAAACTTGAGCTCTTAAGACTGGAGGTCTCTTTGTGAGTTTGTGGTGGGTAAGTTGCAATTTTTGTTTTCCTTTTTCTTTTATTTTTGATCGAATAAGAGGCTATTTATCCTCATCTTCCTCTCCCTGGCAACCGTCTTGCAATTAGAGACGATGTTTAAGCCCTAAAGGCTGAAGGTTCTTGACGAACCCTTCTTATCGTGTTTTGCTTCGTTTTGTGGCTGGTAAGCTGTGATTTGTAGATACAAGTGAGTAATGAAATCATGTTTGAAACCCAAAACCCTAACTTAAAATCAATATTCAAAGATTTTAATAACACTTTTACAGTCATTGTTTCTTCAAATCAAAAGTATGAACCATGGAAGTATTTTAGAATTCCTACCTAGAGTGTTACAAACCACCAGAGCCTCTATCAAAAAAATCATTTCACTATGATTCTTGAAGTTTCACTGAAATGAGATGTTTGTTATTTGACTTAATTGATAATGAACTGAGCTACGATAAGAAAAATCCTACCTATCATCAAGGCATTTGATTTGATTTATTTATCATTTTTCCAAGTACTTGCTTGCATTTTGGCGGTCCAAAATGCTATGGAATGTTTGAGGATTATTGGGGCCTTGAACCAATATCATTGTTTATAACTTTGTATCTTCTACAAGGCGTCTTTATGACTGGTGAGTTTAACTATATTCGTAATTTCAGCTGCCTTGTTTTGTTTATGTGAAATCATTTTACTTGTAATGGTTACTGTTTTTGCAATAATTTCTATTCAACCTGCACACCTGGATTGTTTTTCATGTACTTCAGGCACATAAATTCCTCTTGCATTTGAAAATACGAAGTGAGTTCTTCCAAAATATTATATGATGTGGTTGTCAAGACAGGCGATAATGTTTTTCCAAAATTTTGTGATGTTTATTCTGTTTCTGACTCTTCACAGAATTTTTAGGCCTAAATTCCATTTGAGTGAATTGTCTATGTAGATTATAAAGAAACTTGCCTAGTGTCTGTATGGCTGTCTGGCTTGATAGTCCTTGCTTTTTCATTGTAATTGACAATTAGTGTTAAACCTTCTTTTTTTAACCTCATCAAAATGTGGCATTGGCATTATGGTTTCGTGTAGGTATGAAATTTCAGGGGAGGAGAATTATACAACATGGCAAGCTGGGAAGGTGAGAGGAGGACGTGGCCTTGCTGAAATCTTTCAGTACACGAGGCATAATAGGTAACAATGTGATTTTGATATGGAAAGCTTTTGAGAATTGAAAGGGATGATGACTTTAGTTTGACTTCAATGGGCTTGGTGCTGACTAAGTGACTAGCTAGTTTGTTGGCATAGTTTGCTGTATAGGCTGCTACTATTTAGTATATGTAACTTGCTGTCCAGAAATGTTTTATGCAATGTTGCAATTGAATGTTTGTTAATTTGGTGTTGTAACATGACAGTTGATTGTTTCAATAGAATGCCTTTGATTTGGTGTTTAGATAGTTGATTCTTCTTCTAGATATAGTTATGCCAAGATTCATAACAAAGAGTTCCAAAAACTGTACAAAAATTCTAGTCGTGTCAAATCTGGAGAGCAAAGCAACATTTCAATTAATTGAATTAACTTTGTTACGTTACAAAATACTACATATGATCAACCATACAATGATCTTGATGGACCAGAACCATGCAATACAGTATTTGTGAAGCAAAACCAACCAAACACGCAGAATCACGTTCATCCCTAATAAAATAATGAAAACACTAAATCAATCCTTCACTCCTAACTACTATAGCAGCTAAGCATAAGCCTTGACCCATTTAAGTTATTTTTCTCTCTCCATCTCGTCTCTTAATCTTGCCCAAAGTTTGCTTAATTGAAATCTTAATTGTTTAATAATTAGAGATGACCTGGCAGCCAGCTAGGATTAAAATGTTTTGACTTGTTATATTCTGATTGACCAGAGTACAAATAAGGTGATGCTCCAGTTGTATGCAAGAATTTCTCTCCATCAAAAGTCAATTGTAATACACATAATTAACAATGATATTTTAGAAAAGATAATGTATATTTATTATAAGCAACTAATTATATAATTTCTTTAAAATTCATAAATTAGTTATTTAGTTGTTATAGTAAATACTAGAGGTAGTATATTATACTCCCTCCATCCCTTTTTATAAGCAACATTGAAACTCATCACGTAGATCAAAATGTTAGTTAAAATTAGTTAAAGACAATAAATGCATAAAAATTAGAAGTTCTTTCTCTAAAATGCCCTTATTTATGGTGGGAAAGCATAAGAGAGAGAATAAGAAAATTATTATAATAAAGAGAATAATTATCAAAGAGAGAGAATGTGTGATGGAGAGATAATGGTTTGGAAAATGAGATAATAAATATATTGACTATTAATGTAATAAGTTATTAATGAGGACAAAATGGGGAATTTGCTACAAAAATTTAAGATAATTTGTAAATGTTGCTTATATTTAAGAACAAGAGATAGATAATAGTTGTTGCTTATAAAAAAACTTCACTTGTAAGAAAAAGCTAAATATAAGTCATGGTCTTTAATGATTTTTTTTTTTAATTTTACTCTTTTCAATTCTTCTTAAAAGAGATGAAGATGGGAGAGTTGAGAATGATTTGTAAACTAAAAGAGAGAAAAAAGTTTAATAAGGCA